TGTGGTTATCAGTTAGTGTAAATCTTTATGAGGTTGTTTGCGTCTATTGTTTTCTGGTGTACAACAACACTTAACAAAAAAAAAAAACTATTGAAAGTGTGTTTCTATTTTTTCAGTTATCAACATGAATTTAATAGAATATACAAAATTTACAATTTTCAAAAATTCTTTAACAAAAGAAAACTAAAATATTAAAATATTTAATGTTGGTTGCAATCAAGGCATTTTTATAATAATAATTAAAAATGAATTTTCCAACAACAACAACAAAAAACAAGGGTTGTTGGCTGAATAAAAGAAATAATTGTTGACAAAACAGCATATCACTGACTCTCGCTAACTGTGTGATTGTTTGATTGTTATTTGAAGGCTGTTATCAGTGATGAACATCTTTTAACAGCAACATTAATAATAATTTTTGTAAAAATTTTAAAAGTGTAATGAAAAATCCAGTAGTTTATATTGTTAAGGAATGCATTTTACTATTTGAGGTTTTTAATTGTGTGTATAAATTGTCCTTGTATATTAAATTTTTTTTTTTTCATTTTCATTTAAGCTAAAAAGTTAATTAAACAAAAATATGATGGTATTTTAGAAAAACTTCCTAAGGTATTCGATATTAATTGGGAAAATAAAATCCCTTAGGACTAACAAGAGTTATGATATACACTAAAGATAAGGTCAGGGAAAATTTCTATATTAACACCACAGGATATCAATTGTTGGAATGAATGGCTGTTCTAATATAGAAATTATTTAGTATTTAGAATTTTTGAATTTTATTTATTTGCTTTTAACCTCAAAACAAGGCGGTTTTTATGGTCGCTTTAGTTTTTGTTTCGCTTTTAAAATCATCAAAAACTCTTCAAATTTACGATGACATTTTAATGTTTGAAAATTTTAATTTCCTTTTTGAAACCTTTAACACCACCACCACCACTACTAACTAAATGTATAAAGATGATCCTTTTTTTTTCTCTCTAAAACGCAGGAAATCATAAACTCGTTCAGTTTTTATTTGTGTGATCTAATTACTGATGACAGCTATTCGTTTAGCTCTTTGTTCTCTTTTAAATGTCATAAACAACTCTTCAATTGTTAATTGACTTCGTCAATTATTAATTGTTTGGCATAATTATAAAACCACACCTACTTTTTACCTTTTCTTTTCTTCTACTCTTTTCTTTACTACAACTATTTTTTTTAAGCAACTCAATTGCTGTAATTACTGTTCAAGCAAATGGATTTCTAACAACCCGTTTAACTTTTTAAAACTCCCTTTAAAATGCCTTGGTTTCTACCTTTCTTTCTCCTAGTCTTTTCTTTAAGTAAAAAATACCTTTTAATGTAATTCCTATTAATCCTTTTTTCATTGTTTCCTTTGCGTAAAGTCACAACAAGATTTGGCAACAGTTTCATGTGACACCCTTAAAAAAAAGAAACAAAGATGTTTCTTTCTTTTCCTTTTTTCATCACCTCTAATTGTAGAGTTGCGTAAATTATAGACTTTAGTGGTCCTTCCCATTTTGCCGTTTTATAACTGTAAACATTGTGAGGCCAACAGATCCTTTAACATTAGTGTCTGTATCAGTTTGAAGAGATCTCTTATATGACTTACATAAATTATGGTTGTTATATTATTTTGACGTTGTTTTTAACACCTTGGTTTATAAATTTTTGATTCTTTTCTGTTAAGACTATGGCCTTGAAAGGGGTTGTAACGTGCCATATCTTGTACAATCTTCTTAGCAAAAAAGTATAAAGTTATCTGATTTTCTGCCACATTTAAATGCGTGAGAAAATGTTTGTTAGATCTCTGGATGATATCCTATGTTAGCATATGACGTAGTATAACATATTGATTGACATTGAGAAATTTTCAAGGTTTTTCTAAGAAAATCTTAATCAATAGTAATGTTTTTGATAAGCATATGATTTAAGAGTCCTGAAGAAAGGAACTGTAAGGAATTGCTAACGTTTGTTATATAATTTTAAATCTCGTTCTTGGAATTCTAAAGAAATTTTCTTAAGATTTAAGATAGACTCATCATTATAGGGATTCGTTAAAGTTATTACCACGTGCTTAATAGATTAAAGAAAACACTTTCGTTTAGATAACGGAATTCATTACCCAGTGAATATTTAATCCTTAATAATATAGTTTTCCAACTGTAACTACTCCTTCATTTAAGAACGTAGAACAATAATTGATAGTTTGAATTGTAATGGTTCTCTTGCGGAATCGTGCTCACTAAAGAACGGAGGTAGGCGAAGCTTGAAGCACTTGGATGTTCGTACCGATAGTATCTATGTGGCTTAAATTAGTTCAGATAGTTACTAAAGGAGAAGGTATTTCTAAAGAGATTCTTAGTCAAATATCAACTTCATATCGTGAACAACTCCGATTGATCGTTCCTACTTATTTCCTGGTATATTGAATTTCAGTTGATATTACGATTTGACCCTGGGCTGAATGTAGTATAAGTTATAAAGCGGAACATTGTTCAAAAGTAAGTTATCAGAAGATTTATTTCCTGCGTAAAGAACTTTCAATTGATAAGCGAGACTCTATCGAAAGCAAAGATCAAATTATGGTACTGGGAATCAAAATTTCAGTTGATTCAGCTCTCTCTTAGTTTGATTGCATGCAGCTTAAGTTGCGAAGCTGGGAATGGAAGGAACATTCAAGTTATCAGAAGATCATAAGAAACAGTAAGATAAGCCAGACTTGAACTCTATCGAAAGCAAAGATCAATTATGGTGCTGGGTATCAGCATTTCACTTTAAACAGCTCTCTCTTAGTTTGATTGCATGCAGCTTAAGTTGCGAAGCTAGGAATGCAGATTTGACAAACTTTAGAGGAGTAAGATTCTCTGAAAAGAAGATCAAATTGTTCCTGGGAAATGAAACTTCAGTTGATGTAATTATCACTGAGTCCATAGCCTTTGACTGAACGAAGTTAAGATTGCGAATCTGATATGTCAGTTTATGATCTGTTAGATATCAATAACAATTGAATGGATAATAAGTATCAAATAAATAAGTATCTCTCCCAATTGAAAATCGAATTGTTGTGGAAAACATAGACAGAGTCTTATCGAAATGGAGAGCATTTGACTAAGCTAAGTGTTTGAAGATTCCGTGAGGATCAATAGAGGATTCAATATTAACCCGGCTGCAAGGTATGATCGAAATGGAAAATCAGAAATATCATTGTCGTACTATGGATACTATAGTATCCATACTATCATTTGCATACAAATTGATCGATAGTCGCAAGAATGAGAAAGATGGAGAAAGTTTTATATAGATCTTGGTATTGACTGCATGACACTGATTCGTACATCTGAGTGAAAATGAGATCTTAGTTACTATTCTCTTGTTCCTTCGCTTGTGGCAAACGATGATCTTGGTTCAGTACGATGGAACTTGAATCGATTTCAAATTCGTTGACTATAAAGTCTAACAAAGATTGATCAATTCCCTATTTAAATGATTTTCAATGAAATTTAGAATACTATTCACGTGACGCTTGCTGTTGGAAGGACTAAGAAGTTTAGGAAAAATTAAGTTATATTTTAAAAATATGATAATTAATTAGCAAAGGAATGCGGAATTGGTGTTATAAAAAGTTGGGACTCCCGATTGCCGGTGTAGCATTATTGATGTGATCATGAATAGTGTTTGAAATTCATACTTTGAGTGTTCCAGTGTATGTCTCGCTATATAGTTCGTAATAATAATCTTGAATTATCTTTGTAGCTGACAACTGTTCGCATAGTTGGAAAACTAGTAATCAAAACATCGTTCGAACTATGCAAGGAGTTGCAATGTTTTCAAACCCCCAGCTTTATCATAATGAGTAGAATATTTATACCGAAAAACATAGATTTTCTAGACCCATTATGTCAATGGACAGGCTCTTATAAGTACAACACCTTAGACAAGAAATCATCGCTGAAACATTTCAGAAAATGCGGTCACATGCATCGGTTGTAGTAAGCATCGAACTTGGATAATTATAGTAATTCCGGTACAACTACGAATATGTTTCATCATCCATAATATTCCAAAATGTATCGAAATTGTGATTTAATGCGAACTTTGGTGCCAAATTATTTGGTATTCGTAACCAAACAACTTAAAGTGAAAAATGTAACAAAAGTCTATAAACATAAAATTAAATAAAAAATACTTTAAAATCTTCCAAAAAACATCATGTCTGTCGGTATGTTTGCTATTACTTTCCAATAGGACCAAAATTTGGATAATTTAAATATGTGGTAACTGTAACTACTTGTATGAGTATAAATGAAAAACCCACAAGATTAAATTGTAAATAAGAAGAACAACAGCAACAACAACATTACCTAAACTACCTACTAACTACTACTTAGTATAACATACCGCACTACTTCTCTCATACTTACAACAATTTTGTTAAAACAAACATTTAAACGCTCTCTGTAAAAATACTTTAACACTGCAACAAAAATAAAAGGTAAACTAGTGAATGGATAACTTTAAACAGTGGTTGAAAGTGTGTAAGTGTGTTTTCACGGATATTGTGGATAATTGTTTATCCAAACTAAAAAGTAACCAATAAGAGACGGGCAGAAGTTGTTGGTTCACCATTTGTTGCCGCTAGTGAAGTAGTAAGTTAAACAACAAAACAACCCTCAAATATTTCGAGGTCTATAGCATGATTCGGTTGCAAGGAACTTAGGCTTGTGGCATTGCAGAGTGAAGTCAGTCAGCATTGCGCAGTCGTTTCGAACAGTCATAAGTTGAGTTCGGTTTAACATAAGAAAAAAAAAAACGAACGAAAAAATTATATTAAAAAAAGAAGAGAATTTGTAAAGAAAATATTTAAAGACAGTTTATAACAGACATTAGAGAACTATTAAATGTTTAAGAAAATTTCTAAAAATTAAAAAAACAAAAGTGTGAAAAACGTGTTAAAATAAATTATTTAATTTTAAAGAATATAAATTAACAAAATGGTTATTAACACACCTTTAACCGTGCCATGTGGCGCCAGCAGTCCTCCTGCTACCAGATCACGCGTACAAATCGATTGGGATATTAATGATACCGTTATACCCATGGTCAATGAATTTGATGATTTTCATGATTGGGCCAATGGTCACTGCAGATTGGTCTATCCAGCCACTAATGAAGATGCTAAAAAACATTCTTCCGGCTGGGCCATGAGAAATACCAACAATCATAATATTAATATTTTGAAAAAAAGTTGTCTGGGAGTTTTATTGTGTTCGGCTAATTGTAAATTGCCAAATGGCAATAGTGTTCATCTTAGACCCGCTATTTGCGATAAAGCCAGACGTAAACAACAAGGAAAACAATGTCCCAATAGGTAAGTTTCTAAAAATAAAAAAGAAGTTTTAAATTTTTAAAGAAATTTGAACAAAAAACTAATGTTGAAATCTCCTTTCTGGAAATTTTAGAAATTGCACCGGACGCTTGGAAATACAAGCCTGCCGTGGTCATTGTGGCTATCCAGTAACACACTTTTGGCGTCGTTCGGGAAATGCTATATTCTTTCAAGCTAAGGGTACCCATGATCATCCTAAGCCAGAAGCCAAAGGTTCCTCAGAAGCTAGAAGATTATTGGGCAGTGGACGTCGGGCCCGCAGTTTGGCGGTTATGTTGGCCAGAGATGCTGCTCTTAATGAGAAATTGAGCAGTTTAAGAGGTGTTAAGAGACAAAGTAAACAAATGGATACCAGCAATGATGGCTTAATGCAGCAAACCGCTAAAAAGAAACGCAGCTTAAGAGACATGACCAATAGCTCCAGCAACCCAACCGTAGCTTATCAACATGATGCAGCCCACTACGATAACACCTTAACAAACTCCCAATGGTTACCAGAAATGAATACTGCGGTATATAACACTCCTCTGCCGGAATTCAACTACAACAGCCACAATGTTAATCTAGATCCCATGTCTTATAATATACACTATGATACTGCCGCAAATCAACAGCCCTTAAGCTCACCACACAACAACACAGCCTACAGCTATAACTCCCAGCAATACTCACCCAATAGCTCCTTAATCGATGATTCGGTATTATGTCAACATACCGCCGGCATCTATGAACAACCAGCCTCGCAAACATTACCCCAAGACTATCCACTGCAAGATAATCAAAAATGGATGTATGAAAGTTGTGATGATACCTCCAGCCTCACCAGCAGTTCCGGTTACAATTCCGATGACTATTATTTTCCCAATTTCCTATCCTCCACACTAAATTCCTATGATGTCAATGCTACAGTAGCCTTGGAAAATCCCTCTTACTATTCTCAAACACCCTCCTCAGCTGCCTCGCCCAACACTGCTGATATCTATACGAATGTGTTTGATGGCGACCTACCACCAAGCTCCGCTTTGTATGGCGCTGCTGATAACTACCAGACAAACATTTCACACTCTGGCTTCAGTGATAACATGCTTAATCAAGGCGAGCAGCAGCAACAACAACAGCAGCAGCAGCAGCAACAATATCATAACTTATCTTCTTATACTTCCGATGCAGGTCCCGATTTCTATTATAGCAATTCGGGTGGTGATAACGGTGGTGAATGGAATATACAAATGGATTCCTCAACAACGAATCTGTACTCAACTCAAACCGCTCTGCCAGCCATGCAAAATCATATGTTGCCTCTCTCAGCGGGAGTTTTTTAATTACAACATTCATTTCCTTTAAACTCCAAACCTCGTTAGTTGAAGTTTAAGTTTAAACCAGATCTTGTTATTATTCTGTTGTTTTCTTTTTACCACTAATATCAAAAAGTATCTCCTCTTATGGAAGCCTTTTTTTATCTAAAGTATTTTACTTTAATCAGCGTCGTTGTTCTAGTCTAGTCACCGTTAGAAAGTTTCTGATTTCATTTATTCCTATGAAAATTATATAAAAAACAAAGTTCTAAAGGTTTGTGTTATGTTAACATGTTGCTACTATTTTATTATATCGAAACTATCTCATAAACTATTTAAAGTTTTTCGTAAGTTATCTATAAGCATTTGTAGTTGTAAGTACTTTGTTTAAGTTTACTTTAGTTTAAGAGTTAAAACACTTTAAGTTTATATTTGTTTTTAAAATGAAAAAAAAATCGACTTCTTAAAATGTAGTTGTTAAGCCAAAGAATTGAAATCATTAGTCATCGAAAAAAAAAATAAAATTATAAAAATTGTCAAATATTATTCCTCCTTTTTATAGAACTTGAAATTAAGTACATCTGATAAGAAAATATAAAAAAAATCTTGAAATCTTTAAAAATTCTGGTTTTACTATTTACAAAAACTTATTAGTTTAGTTCTAGTTCAGTTCTAGTTCAGTTCTAGTTCAGTTCTAGTTCAGTTCTAGTTCAGTTCTAGTTCAGTTCTAGTTCAGTTCTAGTTCAGTTCTAGTTCAGTTCTAGTTCAGTTCTAGTTCAGTTCTAGTTTAGTTCTAGTTCAGTTCTAGTTCAGTTCTAGTTCAGTTCTAGTTCAGTTCTAGTTCAGTTCTAGTTCAGTTCTAGTTCAGTTCTAGTTAGTTCAGTTCTAGTTCAGTTCTAGTTCAGTTCTAGTTCAGTTCTAGTTCAGTTCTAGTTCTAGTTCAGTTCTAGTTCAGTTCTAGTTCAGTTCTAGTTCAGTTCTAGTTCAGAGTTCTAGTTCAGTTCTAGTTCAGTTCTAGTCAGTTCTAGTTCAGTTCTAGTTCAGTTCTAGTTCAGTTCTAGTTCAGTTCTAGTTCAGTTCTAGTTCAGTTCTAGTTCAGTTCTAGTTCAGTTCTAGTTCAGTTCTAGTTCAGTTCTAGTTCAGTTCTAGTTCAGTTCTAGTTCAGTTCTAGTTCAGTTCTAGTTCTTCTAGTTCAGTTCTAGTTCAGTTCTAGTTCAGTTCTAGTTCAGTTCTAGTTCAGTTCTAGTTCAGTTCTAGTTCAGTTCTAGTTCAGTTCTAGTTCAGTTCTAGTTCAGTTCTAGTTTAGTTCTAGTTTAGTTCTAGTTCAGTTCTAGTTCAGTTCTAGTTCAGTTCTAGTTCAGTTCTAGTTCAGTTCTAGTTCAGTTCTAGTTAAGTTCTAGTTAGTTCTAGTTCAGTTCTAGTTCAGTTCTAGTTCTAGTTCAGTTCTAGTTCAGTTCTAGTTCAGTTCTAGTTAAGTTCTAGTTAAGTTCTAGTTCAGTTCTAGTTCAGTTCTAGTTCAGTTCTAGTTCAGTTCTAGTTCAGTTCTAGTTCAGTTCTAGTTCAGTTCTAGTTCAGTTCTAGTTGAGTTCTAGTTGAGTTCTAGTTGAGTTCTAGTTGAGTTCTAGTTGAGTTCTAGTTCAGTTCTAGTTAAGTTCTAGTTCAATTCTAGTTCAGTTCTAGTTCAGTTCTAGTTCAGTTCTAGTTCAGTTCTAGTTCAGTTCTAGTTCAGTTCTAGTTCAGTTCTAGTTCAGTTCTAGTTCAGTTCTAGTTCAGTTCTAGTTCAGTTCTAGTTCAGTTCTAGTTCAGTTCTAGTTCAGTTCTAGTTCAGTTCTACTTCAGTTCTAGTTCAGTTCTAGTTCAGTTTTAGTTCAGTTTTAGTTCAGTTCTAGTTCAGTTCGAGTTCAGTTTCTTTATTTTAAAAATAAGGTATCATTCCTTGTGATTTTAGTTCGATAAAATTGTCATCCCTAGCTGTTAATATTATTTGAAGTTTTCAATTTTAATATAACAGTTTTAAAGTTTGAAGTGAAAAATTTGTTTTATATTTTTTCGATTGTTTCCGTAAACTTTTAAAATAGTTTCCGCTTTCAAGTCTTTAAGAAATTCTTAAAACATTTTGGACTCCAATAAAAATTTGAATACAAGATAAAATTTGATTTTAAAAAGTTTCCACAAAAATTTCTAAAATGGATTCGAGAAGAAGACGACGCTCGACTAGGCAGCGTTCACGTTCCAGACCTTTAGGAAATTTCGAAGAACCAGTAAATTTAATGCAACTCTTGCGACGACGTTCTCGTTATCGTCCTTATAGTGTTAACAATAGAAATATGCGTCAAGTGCAACATCCTTTCTTTATGGCCAATAATGAAATACAAAGCGAAAATATAGCAAATTTTGGAAGTTTTTACAGGCGCAATATAAATCGGTTGAACGAGGAAATATTACCTTCTTTTAATACAGCGCATAGTCTAAATAGACAAGATATGGGTACTAATACTGAAGTACCTTGTTGTGCCGCACATTCTTCCTCTACTTCTACTTCTACAGAACAAACACCACAAGCTGGAGGCGATGTACCTGAACAGATGGCTTTAAATGATACTAGAAGTTTAATATATGAGGATTTGGTAGAGTTACAAAATAATTCAATGCCTTCCTTTGATAGTACCGTTACGAATAATATTCCAAGTGAAGCTACTTTAGAAGATAATAGATCGATATCTTATGCTGTTTTGGGCACAACAAAATCAAATCATTCAAAATCCCAAGAAGAATCCAGCTCCGATGCTACAGGTTCCTCAGTTTCTTATACCGAAAAAGATGAACTTGTAGGGGAAACACATTTATCAGATGTAACCTCAAAAACTGATCCCCAAATCAAAACAGATCTTGTGCCGACAGAAAATAATCGGGCCGAAAGCTCGGAAACAAATATTGCAAATGAGCCTCTAGATTCCTTTCATTCTTATAGCGGAAATTTTAGATCCTTGGAAGCTAATATCAATAGAGATTATTCTTATTATTTTGAAGATATGGAAAGGCTAGATGCTTATATGTTACCCGATATTTTTGAACCAGAAGAAAGTTTATTAACGGAAAATGAGGTGAGAACAAATGAGACACAAAACGCTTCAACGTCGGAAGAGTTTACAGTAAAAGATAATACTTCGGAATCTGACAATACTTCCACAAAGCTTATAAAACGAAATGAATCTAATACAACAGTCAATATTGCAACGGATGAGTCGTCTTCAGCGGAAGATGTAAAAGTTATAAATCATACTATAGAAATCCCTGCATCATCCTCCGATTCTCTAGAAGTACCAACTACAATCAGAATTGCTCATGTTGAGGTACATTCAAACACCTCCACCGAGAATAATGCCAGTGATTCTACTTTAAATATTGAGGATAATGATTCCAATACTGCTGCTGCTGATGATGAGGCTGGTGGAGATGGTCTTTATAATGATTCCAATAATCCAAGTGACTCCAATTTGAATAATCAGCAAAGCGAATCTAACACAGCGACCGTTGATATTAAAGCTGGAGGAGATGGTTCACATAACGACTCCCTAATACAAATTGAATTTACTATAACCGCCAATTTACAATCTGACGATGATGATGACGATACCAATGCCGATGATGAGGGTGAGGGGAATGCTGACAATTATCGGGAATGGCATGATGAAGATACTTAGGTTTTTTTCAATGTGACATTTATTTGTTTAGGTAGTTTTTTTGTGATATTTGTAATAAACTTTACTAAATTAATTAAGTTGTTTTTGATTTCATAAAAAGGTGCTTGTTTTGAGTGGATTATATTTAAAATTGGTTGATTTTTTAACCACCAGTAATAAATATTTTAATATTATTTCAAAAAAGGGTTTATTGCTTTTGTTTTTTGGACATTTATAATCCGATTAATAAGTATTTTTATTTATAATTAAAAGGATTTTAAAGGATTTATGCTAAATTACTCAAGGGTGCTTGGTTTAATATGACAATTATTACTGAGGTGTGTGCTTGTGTGTGTAACCCTTAAATCAATTTTTGAAAAAAATCAAACACAATAAAACGCCCATTTCATTTTTTTTTAAATTTTAGCGGCGCACGTCTATTGTGTTATTTAGATTCCTGGCAATTGCTCTTTTTTTAAAAATTTCATGGGTCCTCAACTAAAGTTGTGTTAGTGATGTTAATGAAGGGTAAAGTGGGTATTTTTTTGGATTTAAGTTGGACCCTTACTTAGTTTATTTTATATAGAAGTGTTTTGAATAAAAATTATTCTATAGAGAAGTGTTTCTATATAATCAAGACATCCTTCTTTTAGGCTATCTCCTATAGAAACGTGTCTCATTAGGAAATGTTCTAAAAAAAGGAGTCTTGAACCAATTTCTATAAAAAAGTGTCTTCCTTAGACACTCTTCTATTGAACAATGTCTTCTTAGACACTCTTCCATAGAAAAGTTTATTTCTAGTTCAATTATAGACAATTCTTAGACAATCTTCTATAAAAAGTGACTAAGATAGACACTCGTAGTTCCAGTTCAGTTCTAATTCTGTTCTAGTTCAGTTCTAGATCTGTTCTAGTTTAGTTCTAGTTCAGTTCTAGTTCAGTTCTAGTTCAGTTCTAGTTCAGTTCTAGTTCTGTTCTAGTTCTGTTCTAATTCTGTTCTAGTTCTGTTCTCGTTCTGTTCTCGTTCTGTTCTAGTTCAGTTCTAGTTCAGTTCTAGTTCAGTTCTAGTTCGGTTCTAGTTCGGTTCTAGTTCTGTTCTAGTTCTGTTCTAGTTCTGTTCTAGTTCTGTTCTAGTTCTGTTCTAGTTCTGTTCTAGTTCTGTTCTAGTTCTAGTTCTGTTCTAGTTCTAGTTCTGTTCTAGTTCTGTTCTAGTTCTGTTCTAGTTCTGTTCTAGTTCTGTTCTAGTTCTGTTCTAGTTCTGTTCTAGTTCTGTTCTAGTTCTGTTCTAGTTCTGTTCTAGTTCTGTTCTAGTTCTGTTCTAGTTCTGTTCTAGTTCTGTTCTAGTTCTGTTCTAGTTCTGTTCTAGTTCTGTTCTAGTTCTGTTCTAGTTCTGTTCTAGTTCTGTTCCAGTTCTGTTCTAGTTCTGTTCTAGTTCTGTTCTAGTTCTGTTCTAGTTCTGTTCTAGTTCTGTTCTAATTCTGTTCTAGTTCAGTTCTAGTTCTGTTCTAGTTCTGTTCTAGTTCTGTTCTAGTTCTGTTCTAGTTCTGTTCTAGTTCTGTTCTAGTTCTGTTCTAGTTCTGTTCTAGTTCTGTTCTAGTTCTGTTCTAGTTCTGTTCTAGTTCTGTCTAGTTCTGTCTAGTTCTGTTCTAGTTCTGTTCTAGTTCTGTTCTAGTTCTGTTCTAGTTCTGTTCTGTTCTAGTTCTGTTCTAGTTCTGTTCTAGTTCTGTTTTAGTTCTGTTCTAGTTCTGTTCTAGTTCTGTTCTAGTTCAATTATAGACAATTCTTAGACAATCTTCTATAAAAAAGTGTCTATCTTAGTTTCGTAGTTCTAGTTCAGTTCTAATTCTGTTCTAGTTCAGTTCTAGATCTGTTCTAGTTCAGTTCTAGTTGTTCTAGTTCAGTTCTAGTTCAGTTCTAGTTCAGTTCTAGTTCAGTTCTAGTTCAGTTCTAGTTCAGTTCTAGTTCAGTTCTAGTTCAGTTCTAGTTCAGTTCTAGTTCAGTTCTAGTTCAGTTCTAGTTCAGTTCTAGTTCAGTTCTAGTTCAGTTCTAGTTCAGTTCTAGTTCAGTTCTAGTTCAGTTCTAGTTCAGTTCTAGTTCAGTTCTAGTTCAGTTCTAGTTCAGTTCTAGTTCAGTTCTAGTTCAGTTCTAGTTCAGTTCTAGTTCAGTTCTAGTTCAGTTCTAGTTCAGTTCTAGTTCAGTTCTAGTTCAGTTCTAGTTCTTCTAGTTCAGTTCTAGTTCAGTTCTAGTTCAGTTCTAGTTCAGTTCTAGTTCAGTTCTAGTTCAGTTCTAGTTCAGTTCTAGTTCAGTTCTAGTTCAGTTCTAGTTCAGTTCTAGTTCAGTTCTAGTTCAGTTCTAGTTCAGTTCTAGTTAAGTTCTAGTTCAGTTCTAGTTCAGTTCTAGTTCAGTTCTAGTTCAGTTCTAGTTCAGTTCTAGTTCTGTTCTAGTTCTGTTCTAGTTCTGTTCTAATTCTGTTCTAGTTCTGTGCTAGTTCTGTTCTAGTTCTGTTCTAGTTCTGTTCTAGTTCTGTTCTAGTTCTGTTCTAGTTCTGTTCTAGTTCTGTTCTAGTTCTGTTCTAGTTCTGTTCTAGTTCTGTTCTAGTTCTGTTCTAGTTCTGTTCTAGTTCTGTTCTAGTTCTGTTCTAGTTCTGTTCTAGTTCTGTTCTAGTTCTGTTCTAGTTCTGTTTAGTTCTGTTCTAGTTCTAGTTCTGTTCTAGTTCTGTTCTAGTTCTGTTCTAGTTCTGTTCTAGTTCTGTTCTAGTTCTGTTCTAGTTCTTTTCTAGTTCTGTTCTAGTTCTGTTCTAGTTCTGTTCTAGTTCTGTTCTAGTTCTGTTCTAGTTCTGTTCTAGTTCTGTCCCAGTTCTGATTTACAATCTCTTTTAAAATAAGTGCTTGCCTTTGACTCTTCTGTGTATTTGGTATCACAACATTAACTTTGGTACTTTTAAGTTGGTACCTTTTTGTATTTTCATTAACCATCCCTTTTGGATTACCCAAGGTCATCCAAGAGCACAGAAGCTGATAGAGCGCTAAAATAAAACACTATTAAATTGTGTAAAATACATATTTTGTTAAATAAAATGTTTCCGTTTTTGTACAAAAAAACAATATTTGCATAAATAATGTTTTAAACACACGTTTCACACACGCTTAAGATTCCTTTTCATGTTTTCTGCAGCAAAACCCCGAAAAAAGGACTCCGGTGGCTGACTTATTACCCCTCTTGTCTTTACGCACTTAAAGAGTTTATTTAGGTTTCATTAAAATAAATAAACAGACATAAATGTAAGAGTAAATTACAAAAAGTATTTTGATTTCAATACTCTTTTATGTTAATTAGAGTTTGTGAGTGTGTGAGAGTCTATGTTGTGTGTTTATGCAATAAATCACAAATCAACAACAAAAAACGTGTGCTTCCTGTCTTTGAGTAGTAATGAATAACGTGGGTTTCCAAAAAAAGGATAATGTTACTCTCAAAACACGGCACTACTCAGCGTACCTCTCATATTCAAATTAATTTACATTTATTTGGGATTAAAAAAAAATTGCATGTTTGTTTTTTCTATTTACTATTATTGCTTAATACTCTTATTTTGTCTGTTTTATATGATTTGCATATGCTAATGAGAGGGATCTGTTTTGTTGTGTTGCTGCAATCATTGTTTTTGACTTTGCAGGCTTTAGATTGTTTATTTTGTTGTAAGTCGTTTGTTTATTATCGTATTATGCAAATTAGTTTTATATTCATTGCTCTTTTTGTTTGTTTGATATTCTCTTTGTTTTGTAATTCAATATTCGCGAGATCGTTTTATTATATTTTTGGGTTTCGGGGGTTTTAGTTTAGTATTGAATATTCATGGTTGTTTGCGAAATTTTTTCATAGTTGTAGAAATTAGCATATTTTCGCAAATTTGCACATATTTGTTTTCCTATAAAATGATAAATTAATTTATAAAGACAAAGACAGATGATTTTAAATAAATTAAAGAAATTAGCAAAGATAAAAAGTGTGAAACCAGGAAAAAAGGTGAAATTGGGGTTAGGAAATTAAGAAATTAGATCAATTTTAGGCATAACAGTGGGACATTTTGCAACTGAAGTGAAAATAAAGTAATTTACAAAATGACATTTAGTTCTAAAACTCTGTTTGAACACTCGCTACCTCAAAAACCTTTGAAAAGATTTTCTTGAGAACGAATTTATGAAACAAAATTTAAAAGAATATAAAAACCGAGTAAAAGAGCACTTAACTCTGAATTCTAGAAGAGATTCTGTTAAAGAGCAGAAAAACACTTCTATGGTAGAATAATGTCTTCTTCTGGTACCATTCTGTAGATAAGTTGGCAGTGTTGCAGTCTGCCAGTAAGGAGGTCGGGGGTTCGATTCCCACCAGAGACTCTGGTAAAGGATCGTACAACAGACCCGATAGTGGACAAAGATGAAACATACTTATATCATCCTTGAAAACTACCTAACTAAATAACTAACTAACTAACTAACTAACTAACTAACTACTAACTAACTAACTAACTAACTAACTAACTACTAACTAACTAACTAACTAACTAACTAACTAACTAACTACTAACTAACTAACTAACTAACTAACTAACTAACTAACTAACTAACTAACTAACTAACTAACTAACTAACTAACTAACTAACTAACTAACTAACTAACTAACTAACTAACTAACTAACTAACTAACTAACTAACTAACTAACTAACTAACTACTAACTAACTAACTAACTAACTAACTAACTAACTAACTAACTAACTAACTAACTAACTAACTAACTAACTAACTACTAACTAACTAACTAACTAACTAACTAACTAACTACTAACTAACTAACTAACTAACTAACTAACTAACTAACTAACTAACTAACTAACTAACTAACTACTAACTAACTAACTAACTAACTAACTAACTACTAACTAACTAACTAACTAACTAACTAACTAACTAACTAACTAACTAACTACTAACTAACTAACTAACTACTAACTAACTAACTAAC